TATTTTTAAAATTGCTCTTTTTTTTTCATGGAATAGCAGGGATGGATCCGTCACCATCCCAAACTCCCTAGCAGGAGCCAATGAAACCATTCTGACTGAAAGGGAGCATTCAGTGCTTTTTGGACTGTGAGTGCACGTGTGAATGCCTACAGAACATGTGGATTTACTTCAATTCACTAGAGATCATCCTTTTCAAAGAAGGAATTTACATTAACAATTTCTGTACGATTTCATGTTTACTTCAAGCACAATTTGACTGAACACACTGGTACATTCCTCCATATGTTCATATGCTCAAACCAGGACAGCTTGATTTGATTACAAACTGTCTCATTCTGAATCATGTAAGGATGGTCAGCTGTCCATGGAAAACGTGGTACACCCGCTTGCTTTTTCTTCAGTGCTCCTGTTGCTCCATGGAAAATTAATACACATTTTATTTCTGTCCTTTTCCACTCGTATTCCATGTGTGTTTCGTTTCCTCCATAGCCACCAGTAAATATAGGAACAGCTCAAATTGTGTGGGATGTTTTTGTACCTCCTCTGCTGGCTGAAAGGTGATTCTTGGAGCAAGGGGACACCCTGAGCCTCAACCACTGAAGGCTGATTTAACTGACTTTAAACTCTCCAATAAACCAGACTACTTTAAATTAAAACCCCAAACAAATCACKGTTTGCAACATTGATGCTGCTGACCACATTATGCAGATATCAGGTTCAGGACTTGTCTGCTGCATCAGATTTACTCCCCGACAAGAGTTTGAGCCCATGGAGAGTAAAAATTTCAAGGGCAAATCTGTTTCTACCCAAGTTAATTTTCTGTTTATTTTGGCACAACAGGGAAAAGAAAGTGAAAACCAAACTAGACAAGGGATAGGAGCCAGGATATCCATCAATGCTGCTGAGAATCACAGAACCACAGAATGCGTAGGTTTGGAAGGAATCACTGGAGGTCATCTGGCCCAACCTCCCTGCTCAAGTAGGGTCCCCTGGAGCACATTATTCAGGAAGGCGTCCAAAGAGCTTTTGAATATCTCCAGGGAAGGAGGCTCCACAACCTCTCTGGGCAACCTCTTCCGGAGCCCAGTCTCTGTGTTCTCTCCACATTTTCACCCTGTCATTGCTTAGGCTTTAACAATGACCAGGGCTCTCCTCCTGGTGCCAGACTTTGGAGAGATCTTTTGATGCTCTTCATTTCCTTTCTGCTCTCAGTCAAAGAGGTCACTGTTGAGCCAGACTTTCTATTTAATAAAACAGCTCTAGCAGACACCAAGGAGTGAATTCATTTCTACCAGGTCCAGAGAGGTGTCTCTGGAGGAGGAGAGAAAAAAGTACAGGGAGGTGTGAGCGTGGGGCAGCCTCAATAGCAGGATAACACCTCTTCAATTCCCCAGGGAAGGGAAGTGGCTGTGCAGTGCTTTTGCCTCTGTAAGCAGTGAGGAGAGATTCATTTGAACATGACAACATCACACATGCCAACAGTGGATCAGTAGGCAGTTTTCTCCTTACCTTTACTATATGCACATGTACCAAGTATTATAGCAAGGCAAAAGCAGTGAAGTTGCTCAGATATCTTCCAAGGATTCATTTGAAAGAGATATTCCATCAAATTTGCACATTATCCAGCTACAAAGAAAGGACATTCGTGTGTGCAGGCATTCTGGCAGGAGTTATTTGCTTTGGGGCCAGATGTAATTCAAAGTTATTCTGAATATTACACTGCAGCAGCCTGGCCAAGCACAGTAATGCTGATTATTAGGGTTTTCCTGCTTTTCCAGATGGAGCTGATTTCATTTAGTTCTCTCTCTTGTAATTAATAACTTGTCCCTTTTGTTCATTTTGAATCTTTGTTTTATCCTCGGCAGTTTATGGAATAGTTTCCAATTTCCTTAATCCATTGCTTGCCTCCTCGGTTCATGTAGCAGAGCTCATTCAGCCATACAGTTTAATGATGTGCAGCTCAAACCTCTGCTGCACAATCTCACATCCACTTCACATCGAGCTGGCATTTTTGTCATTTATATTTTATAGTCTATAAACTCACAAATCATACCATTTCATACTAGACCAATGTCAATAATTTTTTTTTTTTTTTGAGGGAAAAAAAACCCACCAACAAGCCACTAGCAAGCATATGGGATCTGTACGTTCTGTCCTTTAAACAAGTGCAGATTTAGCAAGGAGGGGGAGGGAAAAGGAAGAGAATGAGAGCCACATCCCCCCGCTGCCAACGCAATGCATGTTCCTGCAGCATCAGTGTTTGGATTAGGCCCGTGGCCACCCTACTTAGGTTTCAAATAAGCAAAAAATAGACGGAATTCAATTCCCCGCTGCCAGTTTTTAGTGAGATTAGACTTCTGCATACAGAGGATTTTTTTTTAAATAGCCTTCGCATGGGACCAGCTCCTTGCATTGAGAGTGTGCTCATAAATGGGATATCAGATGTCAATAAATGATGAGTGTTTACTCTGTAGGCATATTACAGACTTGTGTAAAATGTGCTATAGGTAGTTAAACACAGGCTGGTTACAAACAAGGCTGCACACAACAGCACAGATTAACCAGCCTGCCTTTTTTTTGTGCTTTTAACTCCTAGCACAAGACACGGCTCAGGACTGGGATCCTAAGTATACTTCCACAATGTAAGTAGCAAATAATCTACTAGAGCATATAAACAAATAATTAGTATGAAATGTGCAGWTGAAGTGGGCTAGCACACAGTAGCTGGGTGCTGGAGTCAGCCTGTACAGCTGTGTGTACGTGCATAGTCCCACGCTTCCACTGAGGACGGGCAGGGATGTCAGTGGGTCCCTCTAACGCTCTGCACGGAAGGGAGTTGAATCCCCGGCCACTGGAAGCCCTACAGCAGAATATCCATGAAGTCACAGCTCTGAYCCCAACATTAGTGGGACAGTCACCTCCCCTGGCTGTGTGCACTGAGTGCTGAGAAACCCAGGTATGGGGGTGTCTGGGCTTATGCTGTTGTTCCCAGGGGAATGTGGGTGGATGGCTGTTCTCTATTTTCTTTTCTTTTGTCCTCCAAATACTTGGAGCATCTGGGACTCCTTTTATTGTATATTTTAAAGCCTTTGTTTCTCTATCCTTCATGCTGCACTGTGACATTGAGCATGCTTCAAATGAATAAAAAGTCTCCTTTAAAGCTCATMACAATTTAATGCCTGTCTTTCTCTGGGACTGCTTTTGGGGTTTTTTAATAGATTAATGACCAGGAGGTCACAACAGAGAGCACTGCATATGACTGAATATTAGCTTTTAATAGAGTGCATTTTGCTCAGGAGCTGATTACAGCCTTCATGAGGCAAGAGCAGCACTAATCCTGGAAGGACTCCTAAAATCTTTCATAAGCTGCATCTAATTAAAAGAAAATGAAATACGCAAGAGTTGATGCACGAGTTGTACATTTGTGCTCCCACTCAATGAATGAATCATTTCCCTGCCTTCTCTGACACAGAAATACCTTGCAACCCATTAAAGATCTTAAATATTTTTACAGATCTAATGCACCACGTCACCACAAGCCACCCAGGACATGGCCACTGAAGTCCAGAGCTGTGCTGGTGTAAATGCTTCTGTGAGGATTTGCATGGAGGATACCTCCAGACTGTCTACACAAGGACACAATTGTCTGTATCACTGCTAAGGCAGACATCACCCAAACTGCATCAAATTCACAAGGTAGAATTTTTTTGCATTTCCATATCCCTTTATAAAACATATACAGCATATGTGCAGTTGGGGCAAATCTCAATCGATGCAACTCTGCCAACGGTGTCACTTCATCACGGGAACAGCACATGTCCTCACACAGCCACAGGCCCAGYTGTTACCAGTCTCTCCAGTCCTGTTACTGGTAGAGAGCCACAGGGAGCCAAGATCCAAGAGGGAGATGAATGGCAAGGTGGATGAGTGTGAATTGATGGAATGGCAGCCAGACCCAGTGTCAGACTGGGATGCAGCTCGGGACCAACCAGCCCCAGGCGCAGAGCACAGTCCTGCTCCTCCCCATCACTCAGGGAAGGGCAGATTCCCATCACCCGCCTGCAAAGCAGAGCAGCCCTGAAGGCACACGCGCCTCGTGCTCCAGTGCGCTGGGAACATGTCAGCCTCACTCATGTCCCTTCGAAGGGCTGGGGCTGGGGTTAGATCAGAGCCTTCCCACTGGATTARCACAGAGCTTTGCAGCTCTGCCGGCACCATGCCCACGCCTGTCAGGATCCATCAGAGAGCCGGGGCTTAGCAGCTAATAGAGTAACAGAGTGAAGAGAATAAAACTACCCCTTTCTGAAACAGCCAGAAACACTCTTAGCTAATGCTGAGCACAGCTTATGATTTTACAGAAGGGAGGCTATTGTACTTGTGGGAGCCGCATGTCAGGGAAAGCACCCAAGCTGCAGTAAACAGTCCATGGCTGAAGGGGCAGAGTGGTTCCCATCCTAACTGCCAGTCCTGGAATGGGGTTCAGGGGCACTGAAACAACTGGGATGGACTGGGAGCACTGAAGGAGCAGAAAGATGGGAAGAAGGTTGTGAAATAAATGGCAGTGCAGTGGCTGTTTTCCTTTACTGCTAATCCCTCAAAATGTGATTGTCATCTGAAGAGTTGAGGGAGCAAAGGGAAGGCTGCTCAGGTTTTGTGCCTTCAGGGTAATTTTTTAAAATATATTTTTAATGTGTACTGATGTAAAGTTAAAGTAACTCAGGATGAATGGTTTCTTTCACCTTTGCATCAAAACCTGCACATCATGCTCAGATAGACCCCAAGAGCTGCTCAGCTCCCGCTGCGATCCTCACGTGTGTCCTCACGTGGCCTCAGACCACAGTGCGCCTGTGCTCCCTGCCCGTGTGTGCATCAACATGACCCCCTCAGGCATCAGGAGTCAGCTGGGGCCATCACATGGTGGCCCTGGTCGGAGCAGAGGGAACATGTGTTGGACCACAACTGCAACAAGAGGCATATTCCTAGATCCACTTGTCACCTCCAGTTCTGGCCCATCCTCCCATGTCCCCCTTATAAACCACTGCAAGAATAAGAAAGCAAATTCACAGCACGTAAATCAAGCCTAGGAATGTTTACAAACCTTTTCTCTCTTGAACTCATGCTAGTTATGGAAAAAAAGTRCTTAGAGCCAAAAGCTGGTGTTTAACAATTTATTCCAGGGGTCAGGGAGTGGAAGGAGGGYGATGCTCAGTCTCAGCGGGCCATGGCTGGCAGGGTGGAAGCTCAGCTAGAAGTAGTTGACGACTCTCCTGATGGACTGGACGCTGGCGCTGCGCGCCTGCCACGCGTTRAAGCTGCTGAACTCGCCACGCTCCACCACGTACATGCGGCCTCGGTAGTTGGGCTCCTCGTACAGCACCCACCTGGGCACAGAGGGAGGGGACCTGGGTGCCAGCACCGTTCTCATGCAAAGCGGCCACTCAGAATGGCTGTACCCCAAAYTACCAGGGCCCAATGGCCCCTGATTCCCAGTCCCATTCTGAACACAGAAATGCTCCCGATGGAGGYCACTGTAGGCACTTCCCCCACTCCCCACAGCGTGGCCTGGAAATTATCCACAGCCACACGGGACCTTGCCTTTGGAGGACATTGCTTTGGCTTACACCAACAATAAAGCCTGKGGCCAAGGCCTCCCTGCTTCACATTACTGCAGGAATGGATCTCTCTGAGCTTCACCATGTGCAACAGAAACAATTTAATAGCATTTAATAGTGCTAAAGAAGGATATGAGTGCTCTCAGCCCCTGGATAAACCCCTTTTGGACTGTAAGGAGAAACGTACAAGGCTTCATGGATGTTCTGCCCCTTTGAACCAACTCATTAGCTATGATGGGAACCATATTTATAATTTCTCTCTTTGTTAGTAATTAATGGCCTCTTTGATGTTTTCCAACAGAGAGCAGGGCTTGGCTTGGTTATCTTTRCTTTATCTTTACATCCAGAGTTAACGACAACTTTCCCTTGGAATACAGTCWAGTGGATATAACATTCAATAATCTTGGTGACCTTGGCATGCCTGACTTCTTCACCTGCTTGGCTGCCTCGTTCTCCATCWCCCTGGCTTTGTGGCATGTTTTTCTCCATTTTAAGGTCTTCAAGTCAGGAGCAATTCTGATTGTCAAGAGGGACAATTTTACTGCTTTTCTCTTCCTTCATCCCCCTTTAGTCACAGTGTGTCATGACCTTAATGTGACCACAAATGTCACCTCTGTTCTCTATTTGGATCTCCATGATTTTTAACCAAGTTTTGTCATTGCTCTGACAGTTTTACAGTCAGATTTCCACCCTGTCATTGCTGAGCTACTCATCTCTGCCTCTTTCCTTTCATCCCTTTTGTTTTTATTTTTATTTTTATTTTTTTTATTTTTATTTTATGAGGATCCCTGCTGCTTTTACCATCTATTTTATCAGCAACGACAGCAAAGCAGAAATGCAATCCTCCAAATCATTTGGTTTCTGCGGTCTGTCTTTGCAGTAATTCAACTGGGACATTGGGGTTGGGACCTACTGTACGTGGGATTTCCAGGGAGAAACTTCTTCAAGTACTGGATGGGTCAAAGACTGCTGGGCCTTGAGGGTCAGACAACAGCTGGTGAACTCAGATCAGTCTGACCCAGGGCAAAAAGCTGGAGACTTGGGGAAAAAAAAGTTGTTTATAAAACCAGCCACCCACAGGCACCATTTAAAAAACAGAACAAGAAAATTTAGGGTATTTTGCCAGGCCACWTTACAGGTTTCTTGACATATTTGTTCTGGGTTTCTGAGAGGATGTGAGGTGGGACTGTGGTGGTCCCTTCTCCCAGATCCCTGTGCAGGAGCAGGAGCAGCACATGGATACCAGCATGGAACACTGTGCCTTGGTTTTGTAAAGAGCATCCTGTCCTATCAGAGCCCTGTGCATGGCACTGACACGTGGCTCCTACAAACAAACAATCTCATCCTCTGGCACCTGTCGCAGCCAGTTTATATCCAAATTGGGATTACAAACTCATCTTCAGCTTTTTCCTTTGATGGTCACTTTGCAGCATGAGGAGAAGGCTGCCCACTGCTCCCGTGAGTGTAACGTACCCCCACCACATATCCCGGTGTGCAGTGACAGAATGTCCTAATCTCTTCAGCATAGTTAACAACAATTTATAAAAGTTTCCACTTCCTATAGGTACACCCCAGCCTTGTTCCTAAGGCACACCASGCTTTCTTCCTTTTCTACTCCTTTCATTCATCTTACTCGCTCTTCTAGATATTATTAGATGATTGTGGACCTCCTTCACCATCAGCTCACTATCCTTCCCTCAAGCATTCAGAAAAGAGATCCCAATCCTGTTTTCTGTGCCTTTCAATTGCTCCCTCCTGCTAATGCCACTGGAAGTACAGCAGGGTGGCAGGACATGGATGTCCGCAGGGCACTGCCCATCAGGACATGGCTGTTCTTTCAGCTCCTCTCTGCTCTAGGACTTCTTTCAACAACAGATGGGGGATAGAGCAGGGGAARAGCAGCCCCTCACAGTCACTGCCCTTCCCATGATTTTTTTGCTTCTCTCCAGATACATGGTACACAGATAGATGTGCCTATGCTGTTATATGGAGGGATTGGGACAGGCTTTGGTGTAGATGGAAGCAGACTGAGTGACTTGGTGTGGTGAAAAGAACCCCCAATGCCTTGTCCCTCTGATTAGAGGAAGGCTAAAAAAATCTCAAAACCAAAGGAATAGCAGAAGGATGGGAGTAGAGTGTGTTGGCAGTGCAAGGTGATGAGTGAAGGACWGTGTGCCTTACTTAGCTGTTCCTTTATTGCCTAAAATCTGTGTTCTCTAAGGCCATCAGTGAGAGGGGAAATCAAGTCAGTCAGGAGCCCAGAAAACAACAAAAAAAAATTATCCTGTCCTCAAGCCCAGCATGGAGAACTGGTCCAGGCACATAGCACACAGCCCTCAAACATCTCGGTGCTGTGTTTCATTAGCACATAATCCCAGAGGACATGGGAATAAAATGCTCATGGAATCAGCTCAAAGCCAAAGCATCAAATCAGAAGCCAAAACTGGCTGCTCAAACTGAAAAACGAGGAGGGGAATGCTGCAGCATCAGCCTGGACCAAGCAGGAGGCTTTCAGTGAAGCTCAAAGTCACTCRTTCTCCATGTAGGACTTGAGCAGTRCCATTTCTGCTGTGAAATATGTAATGTTCATTGGGCAGCTGCATTTGGGTACCTGTTCTGGTTTGTATTTCACAATCTGACTGCAGAACAGTGACCAAACACTCATGAATGCTTCAGCAGAGTGAAAGGTTGGTCTGGTTCCTCCAAGTTATGCCACTGTAGTGTAGAAAAGCTTTTTTKGGGGTATTCTCTACTGGACCACAAAACAAATCCAGCTTTTTTAAACTGTTGTTTCTAGGCAGTCCTCTGTGGGGTGGCTGAGGTACAAAGGAGGACAAGAACCACACATCTTCATCTAAAATCAGATGATACCATATGTGATACTGGAGCTGGCTCTGCCCGTGGGACGGGCGAAGCCACTCACCACAAACCTGCAACAGCTTCCGAGGAGGCGGTGACACCTCAAAACTGCTCCGAAATAGCAATTCATTGCCAGCATGGCTGAAACAGCTTCATTATCACCCTTTCTGGCTGTGTGGGGCAGCGATTGCCCGCCCCAAAAGGGCAGAAGGGAAGGTGCTGGACCCCCTCAGCCCCACCACGCACCATGCCAAAGGCAGACATTTGTCTCCATTCCCGTGTTTCCAGATGATCCATCATCACTTCCCGCGGGCATGGCCACCTCCACAAGCGCAGGCAGCAACTTTTTATCAGCACATGACACCATCCATGGATTTTGAAATGGAAACAAATATTTCTGTATCCAACAGATGTCTCGTTGTGGGATTTGAGGGTGAAAACCACAGAGAGAGAATGTGGCTGAAACTCCTTTTGTCTCCACTGACCCCATCTCCTCTGCTCCTCAAATGGCCAAGGATGGGTCCTGGGAGAACTTCACCAGGTTATGCCCAGCACCACCTACACCTGCAGCACCTCTGGAGACACCACGGTTTATAAGRTCCATCCTAAGAAGAAAAGGGGTCCCTTTCTCCTCCCTGCTCTCACCTCTCTGCTGTGGTTTTTCATCCTTCCCTCTTTCCTCCTGCAGTCAGAGATAACAGGTCCCTCTGCATTGTCCTGCATTGTCCTGCCTTTTAATTGCCTTTACAGACCTTTCCAAGCATGTCCAACACTGATCTTCCCAGGATCTGAATGTAATGCTATGAAGCTCAGTGTCTTTCCTCACCATGCTTCTTTCAGTGCTTTTTTTCCCCACTTTTTTATCAGTATTCATAGACCTTGAGAAGTCCTGTAATGTTAACACACACAGTCCAGGCTCTCATGCGAGGCAGAACAAGCTTTGTGCCCTTCATGTATTTTGTAGGGGAGGAGGAAAATCAATCTGAAAATTCAAGTGCTTGAAAGTTTCTGGACAGCTTCCCAGTTTCTCAAGCTCCAGGCTCTGCTGCAGGGACCCAAGCAGTAAACTGGCCCTAAATCTCTTGCCAGAGTACTCACAGGCTCCCTCTTGGCTTTGTAGTGTTGGTACTCAAATGCTCAGGGTCCCTGGTGGGGTCCAGCCATTTCTTCCCATCAGGAGTGTGTAGCTCTGCTCCTTGGTTTTAATGAGCTGCCACTGCCTAACCATAAGCCTGGATTTTTGGAAGAGGAGAGGTCTTGGTAGGATCAAGAAGAGTCCTGCAGGACACTCATTGCTCTCAGGATGTCTCAAGCTTGGATGGCAACAACCTTCCCTATTCTGAGAGAAATGGACAGAAAGGGCCCAGCATCCCATGCCAGGTGCCTGTGAGCTGCACAATATCCACTCCAGGACAGGTGAAGAGCAAGGTATCTGCGTTCCCTCCTCTGCAGGGGTTTTCCTCTGCCCACTGCCTCCCTCCAGCCACCCTCTGCCTGGCTCTGGGAAGATGTCATGGCATTCCCCAGCTCCCAGCRCGCTTGTAGTGAAAATGCAATTGTCACAGGAAAGGGGAGACAGATGGATAACAACCTGTCTGACAATAAGGGAAAAAAACCACAAAAAGGACCAACACCATTGAGAAAATACAAACTGCCACCAAACATCAAGGAAAAGGCAAAGCTGACATCCTGCCCAGGCTTTCAGGAGCATCTGCAGGGGCAGGAGGATGGGGCTGAGCATCGGTCTGGGYATCACCACTACTGTTGGCCCTGTTTTTGAGAGGCAGGGTTTAGTGTGGAAGGGAGGTGCTGCCGCCTCAATTTTGCCATCATAGGAAAAGCTGTGGTGAAGCCATTTGCAAAGCAAAAGCCCTGACCTGCATCACCTCCATCCATCCACCCTCCCTGAGAGCTTCAGCATGGAAGGGAAGAAGGAAGGAAGCTGGTTTCAGGCTTCTTGTTTCATACACCTTTAAAAGGTGTCTCAGAGTTCTCGTAGCCTGTGGTTAGCTGCCACMCTCCAAAAATCAACAAACTTCTGGAGCAGCTCTCAGTGGGCAGGCGCCAACATTCACCTTTAAACACAGAATTAACCAACATTTTGATGCTTTCTTCAGGTGCCCCCAGCACTGACAGTTTTCCATGGCAGGAGGGTGTCTGCAGTGCCCTCTCCCCTGCAGTGCCCAGGGCAGGGAGCTCAGCAGTGGCAGATGCCAGGACAGGTGCCATTACTTACGCGCCATCGCCGTACACTTTGAGGGCATTGATGCAGGTCTTGTCCCAGCCTTGTCCCTGCAGGAAGGAGCAATCTTCTGTCAGCTCCAGGCTGGGACCCCTAAAATGGCTCCCCTCGAAGATTTCGATCCTGTAATGCTCGCCGTGCTGGGGACAAAGGGATTTGTGTCAACACCAAAAAAGCGCAACAAACGATTTATCCGGCTTTTATAAGACAAAGAGGGAGACAGAAGAGTGCTCTGGAAGGGGAATGTGAAGAGCAGGCCAAGCCCACTGGTGCCAGCATGCACAGAGCACACACGAACTGGTGCCTCCTCTCAGCACACCAACCAGSAAAGCAGCCAAAAGTCTCTCGTCCCTGTGTCTGGCTGCACCTTCCTGCAGCTGCMATCCACATGCAAACACACTGTGGGGTGCCAGTGCTCAGGCACATGCACCCCTCACCCATCTGCAGATCTCCTCCACCACCCCACAAACCCTCCATCCCAAATGCAGCATCAGCTGCAGCCCCGGCTCTGTGCACCCAAATAGCAAAAAAGGAAACCTATCCCAAGTGTACAAAGATRTTGGATCATTCCCCTAAATTAATTTGTATTGCCTCCAGTTTCGTGCATAGCTGCTGTTCCTGGTGGGAGATGTTGTGCCTTTCTTTTAGGAAAATAAAAACAGGGGAAATAAAAGGAAACTTTCCCAGCATCATCATTGCTGTCCGAGCCCTTGACCATCATACAACACAAATTACTCTGGGGAGATCTCTGCAGCCTGCAGCAGAGCTAYGTGGGACAGAGCAAGCTCGAAGGATATTTTTAAGCCAAATTCAAAGAATACCTAAACGCATTTTTCAAATAAAMAACGTCAGCGCACAGAAAGGCCGGGCTGCGATGCCAAACCCCACAGCAGGCAGCCGCCGGCAGCAGCCAAGCGGATACCGTGCCTGAGCAAACATTCCTCTGGGAATCTGTGCTGCAGAAATGCCTCGAAGCCCTTGCTGGCATCTCACAGGGAAAATCTTGGGCCAGGAAAGGAGGAGCACATCCTTGTGCTGGCCGGGATCCAGGGGCAGAGCATCACTCCACGTACGGATCATGGAGGTGCTTTGAGAATGACGTTACAGACCTCAAACAGACCCACTGCTGTGCCAAAAGCAGTTTCAGGGCCAGTGAGAAGCCTCACCAGCTTCAACTGGGCTAATCATTGCCCCAGAGGCCCCCAGTGATAGGAGAATCAATGGAAAGACCCAACCCATATTAATTTTTCTTTGCTACATTTTAATCTTCCCATTTAAACCTTCCCCAGGACAGTGCTTTTAAAAGCTTGATAAGGGGAAGGAAAAATAATGGGTTTAGTTTAGGATTACTGCGGTCATGGGGTGGTTTGCAACAGCAGAGAATTCAGCTAAAATTTGCTAGGAGCAGCCCCAGGGTCTGGTTAAAAAGCCCTCAGGCTGCCCTCTCCCCCTTCAGGTGTGTGGGGAGATGGAACTGCCACAGCTCAAACTTGCCTGGGGCAACAAATCTCCTGAATTCCCCAGTGAATATCTCATAGCAGCTTACATTAAAAGGAAGAGCACATGGTACCAGCAGGACCTTACCATCTCAACTGGAAAACCATGGGAATATCTCATCCTGTTAAAGGCACTGCGTTTTGCTGTGGAAGGAAGAAAACGCATCTTCCTCCCGTCTGGGGACACGGGAAATTGTCACGGCTTTGTGGCCTGCACAGACTGCTCCAAATGGGGACAAACCTACCCAAAAAACTTTCCTGCTCCAAGGGACACGCTATTCCTAAAGAACACAAACTTATTCACGGGGCTCCTGTGACCAGGAGAAACAAAACCCAGCAGTGCTCTGGCTGGAAGAGCCAAAGGCCAGCAGATCCCACTCACCATCCCGATGGGCCGGCAGGAGCCCAGGTGGTCGCTGCGTCCATTCCAGCGGTAAAAATCGGGATACTCGCCGTGCTCCAGGATGTACTGCTGCCCTCGGAAGTCAGGGTGGTCGAAGCAGACCCAAGCCCCACTCTGGACACAGATRGAGTTGACCCGGTTGAGGAAACCTTGGTCCTGGAAGCTGTTGCAGCTGCCGCAGACATCCAGCTTCCTGCCTGTGAAGCATTTGCCCTCGTAGAAAGTGATCTGGGGGGAGGGAGGAGAACGGACCCACAGTGAGGAGCAGGGGCATGGCCAGACTCCCATCCTGAGCAGATGGGAATYTCTTGCAGAGGCATCATTTCAGGGTGGTTTGGGTTATTTTAGCTGCTTTCCAGCAACAGGAGCACGGCATCGCTGGCATTTTTTCCTAAGTGTATTTGTTTTTCTGGGAACGCAGTGCATCCCGCATTTATGACACTTCTTGCCGCCTCGTGCTCACTCACACATATTTCCAGCAGGAATGTTTAAACAGGAAATTCGGCTCCCGAAACSTAGCTCCTTCTGCCGCACCCTCCCCATCCCTGCTACCAGATTTGCTCCCGGGATCAGCACTCACACMGCGCCCGCAGCTCTATTGTCCTCATCAACTCCTTCCACCCGGAGGATGCTCGGGCTCTCCGGCCCCAGGCTGAAAGGGAAGCGGTTGGGTCGTTACTTACTTTTCCTGAGTATTGAGACATTTTCTGCTGGCTGTTATCCAAGACCAAAAGCGGGAGCCAGACCAAACCCGCGATGGACAGATCACTGGACACCCCACTATATAGGGGCCGGCGGGGGGGGAGCCGGCCGGGGCTGGTGTCGCGAGGGCTTTTTAACAAAGCCGCGGGAACTGGGGGCTTTGCGCTTTCCTGCTTCGTAGGCAGAACCGCSGGTAACGGGGCCTGCTGAGTCCGGGGTTTTGATTTTGGGCAGATGATCTGACAAAAGATTTGCTTGGCAGGGCTTTGGTCAATTAGCGGTGCACATTTACTGCTCCTTTTTGGAGGACTTCTTTTTTTTTTTTACTCTTTTGACCTTTTTTTCCTCTTTATTTGTATTTGTTGTTTCCTTCCCCCCTCCATTTTCCTGTTTTTTTTCCCCACCCTTTTTCCTTTTCCTTAGAACACCTGACAAGTAAAGGAGGAAACAGCAGCTTCTCTAAGCATGGTGCACAATTTCTCTGTGTTAGGTTTGCTTTTTCCCAGCTTCTTCCCACCTATTGCAGTGTGGCAGCCTTGGAAGACTCCTCACCAACAAATATTGCGCTCCATCCATCAAACCAATGGTTTCCTATTCAACCTTTGAACCTCTCTCAATGGCACCTCCAAAAGCCAAGGATCTGACCTCCTCCAAAGTGCCAGGATTGGGCTCACAAACCCACTGATGTTACTCACGAACATTGTTCTCAGGAGTGTTTGAACTTCCAGCACTGAAGCCCTGACTCACAGCTGTAAGTCAGGATTAAAGGGACTTTTGGACCATAAAGTTACCATACTAAAGTAACTTACATTGCAGCTATGTGGGACCATAAAGTCTTCACCTGTGTTATGAGAATATCCAGAGATTTTAACTCTCTTGTTCCCAGGACAAACAGCAAAGGAAGCTCCCAGCCCATAAATGCCACCAATTTCTATTGATGATCCGCGCTAGGAAGAGATAAAGGCAAATGGATGGGGGTGGCTCATGGACAAGCATGCAGGGGGCCATATTAAAAGGAGATTTGTCYTTTATGCTTTTTAATAGCTCTGGAAGAGAACTTCACACACAGCTCCTGCTCATTGAATCCTCCTCCTCCTCACCTACCAAGTCCCCGTCACCTCCCCTTGCCGCCTCCTCTCTCCCTGGCCCATCAGGCACACATTTTAAATCCGAACCCTAAAACCTCTTTTTCTGGAGGTCAYTCCCATCCTTACACGTGCCAGCAGCCGGGCTCGGCAGCCCCACTCTGTTCTCAGTTCTCTGCCTCAGTTCTCTGCTTCATCTCAAGATTAAAAGGCGCTTCGGAAGCGAGGATGTCGTCATCAGGGCTCCAGCRTGTGCCGCCCTTTCCATTAAGATGTAAAAGTTAATAAGCGCGTGTGCAGACACACGTAGGCTGAGCTGGAGGATGTCATTGACTGGGATGCTCTGGGGGAGGAAGGAAGGAGGTGGCACTTYGTGTTGGGAGAGGAAACACATCCTCCAGCTGATGCAGGCAAACCTGCCCCAGCATTGCAGGAACACAGCTCACACRTACGTGTTCTGATGCGAGGCAGGAAACAATGAAAAAACCCTCATCTGATTGAAAAAACACCCTGCCCAAACTCTCTTTGAAATGCCAGTGCCAATTTTAAGGTGTTAAATTAATCACCAGATGGTGTAGGGAAAAGAAACAGTGCATGGAAAGTCCCACTTGGAAGAGCAGCAGCCAAGGTGGGGAACAGTAGCAGTGTTTTCCAAAAACCAACCATTCCCTGTGGTCTTGCACTCAGTGGGAGGGAAGGAGAAGTGTCCCTCTTTGAAGTCATGACTGGGAGCACGAGGACAATGGGGTGACCCCTTCGCTAGCATGGGGACCCAACTCTGCATCCACTGGGGTTGTAGCAGCCCACGAGCTCTTTGTACTGGCCATGGGCTGTTGGGTGCCTGGAGAGGAGGACTGGGGACACACTGCCCTAAAGTACCCAGGAAAGCAAATATTGCCTCAGGAGAAGATATTTATGGAACCACAAAAGCCTGGTTTCCTCCGGCTCTGTCTCATGAGGGGATTTTCCTGTTTCTCTTAAGGTGTGAAATTTAATTCAATGTGCAAGAGCTCGATGAATCTGAGACTTGTGCCGGGCTGTCAGATTTGTGAGAGATTGTCCAACAGGTTCAAAAGCTATTTGAGGAGAGATGGAAAGAGTGTGTGKCAACTTCACTCTCATTTATTTGAGAAACCGTGGTAAAGACATGAAATAAGAAAGGACTCATTTCTASCAAAAAAAAGTTAAATGATGGGRAAAAAAAGAATTTGTAAGAATGGCAAATCAACATYGCTGGACTAAGCCCCTTAATTCCCTGCCAAAGATGAAAAAGGCTGCCAATGGAAGAGAAAGAAACAGCCTGAGTAGCTCRTGGCCACTAGCAGCATTTCAGGCACATGATGCTGGGGCTGACCTTGCCTCTTTACTTGTGCCCAGGTATATCTGACCCGGAACCCCATAGCAAAAGAGTTGTGGGCAGCCTTCCTCCACTGTGGCTGTTTAAASGATGAAACACTGGAAACACGAACATTTGAGCACTTGGATTTAACAGTCAAAAACCAAAAATCTGAAATTCTTTTGTGGGTTTGGTTTAGAGGGAGGAATTGGGTTTGGTGTCCTCAGGGGCAGCTCCAGGCTGTGCTATCCGTGCCTGCCTTTCCTGCCACGAGGCTGAGGAGTGAAGTGGAGGGAGACAATTTGCTCTCCAAATTGTCCAGGCCAGAGCCAGGGAAGCTGAGCAGGGTGTGACTCCTGGAGGTGAATCTTTGGGAGTGACCTCGCTAATGTGAACAGGAATATTGCGTGTCAGAGGCTTAGCAGGATTAGCATTCTGCTCAGAGGTACCTACTACAGCTGGTACAGCCCCACACAAATAACCTTTCATGGAGCAGCAGCCAAGGAGTTGCTCCATATCCAGAGCCACACTTCAGCTTCTGGAGGAGCCTGTAGTATTTGCAAAGCAGTGTAAGACCTGGCACAGAAAATCCCTAGTTCAGGGCTTTCAAAACACCACCTTGCTTTGAAAAGCTTGGAGATTTTTCACATACCTCAGTATGAGATACTCTGAGCTCATTAAATATGAAACAATCACGGGTTCTGCTCCTTTCCATGGAAAATTTTTTGGCTTGCTGCTGGAAATGATGAGCACATCCTGTGGGCCTCTTCAGAGCAGCAACAGACCTCAGAGTTAGAAACCATTCCCATGACTCAAGGAGCATTTCTGTGTGAAATGCACGTTGCTTGACAAAGACCCGGCCCATCTCAGCCCAGCTGCCAAAAATACCAATTTCTGCTAGGGATTAACYCACTCCCTGTCTCTGCACCATGCACTGCCTCCCAGAGCTGCTTTGGGGCTGGGTACAACAACTGCAGAACATCTCTGCAAAACATTCAACCCACACCTCATTGGCAGAATACATCACCTGTTGATAGAAATGGGAATCAGCTGCCAGGCAAYGGTTTTGGGTTCAATGTGTTGCCTTCAGCATGGATGCACTGTGACACAGAAATCTCTGGAACATCTCCACCAAGAATGGCCATCCCACCTCTGACCCACCTGTCATCCCATGCCATGCAACACCTTGTGTCACCCATGTAGACTATAGACTCCAAAAAACCTGCTCAGACTGAGCAAGCCCTGACACAGAACAATGAATMTGGCCAGATTCCTGCTAGGAAAAACAGCTCCTCACCTTGGAGATGGGACCTGCTGGTGAGGTTTAGCCAATTATGGTCTTGTTTTCAGTAATATTCTGTCCAGGATCATCGCACACCTCAGCATCTGACTGAGATGGGACTTGAACTTCAGTGTGAAAAGCATCAGAAAGCCTAGGGCGTGAAATCCTTTCAGTTCTCATTGTATTTCAAAAAAAGTAAAAGTTCCAGTAGAGAAATAGGATATCCAAGGAGAATCTGGATACTTCGGACACCCAGACTGGTTTAGCCACATTACTGCATGCTCACAAGAGTTGAAGGCATCTGTGAAAAGGGTTTCACTCCCCCTCCCCAGTTATCAAAGGGGAGCAATTTTGACCTTATTAGATGAAGTTGTGAAGATGAGTCAGTATTAGCAAAACGCTCTGAAGATGAGCAGTCCTGATTACATAAGGGCTAATTAAAAGCTGTTGATTTCTCCTTCTGGAGAGGCTCAAGCTCAGCAGTGTTAATTAGCAGGGTAAGCCCAGCAAGCCTGGGCACATCAYCATCACCTGCACCGCGCTTGCACAGCACCTGGGACATCTGCACCTCGTCCAGATACACAGCATGGCTACTGCAGACACACAAGAGGGAAAATGCTTTCCCAGATTTTTTCTTCTCCAGCATGGACTCACCAACCCTTTACAGAAGCTGGGAAGAAGCATTACACAGAAGATGCCATCCACAGGTGGCGCCCCAAACTTTCTCTGCCATGGAACTAATCAGGCAGGGACAAACTTCACTATGCATGGAAACAACAGGAAAAAGAAGACTCATGTACCCACTTACCACCTGCAGCCCATCCTGCTGAGCTCACCTGCTCRCCTTCCTCATCCTCAGCATTTCCAGGCAGACTGGGAGATGGGCAGCTCCAGGTCTGGGACTCAGGATTATTCCCACAGCAAAGCAAGGAGCTGGACAGGAGCACAGGCAAGGCAGGAGTCACTTCCAAACCAAGGCATTGCAGATTCACACAAGTCAATGAGAACTTTCAGTGTAGGTAATCTTCACATAATCACAGAATGGCTGGGGTTAGCAGGGACCTCAGGAGGTCACCCAGAGCTGGTTGTTTGGGACTATGTCCAAGGAAATTTTGAGTATGGTGTATGGAAATTTGGAATCCAACATGGCGGACTGTGCTCAAACTCACAGTGAAAAAAATTTGCTCATTTCAACAGAAAGGATCTTTGCCTTTCACCTTTGCAAATGAACATCCCTTAAGAACAAGGTTAAGTCTACATAATTATTTTCATAGCCTGGATCAGAAAATTTATTTCCTCCATGCCTTACCTTTCCATCCATGCACTATTTATCACAATCCTCCAGAAGCCTCCAAAGGATCAGGGCAGCTGTTGTATAAATTCATCCACTCCAGGCAAACAGCAATTTGCTAGATAGCGGTATTTTGCTTCAGYGCACAACGGGGCTTCCAAGATTGCCCACCACCACCTTTCAGGGCTCTTGGGGTGAAGGACCCAACCTGTGCCAGCTCACAAGGAAGCACGAGGCTGCCCCAGCTTCTGTTAGACTCCAGCTGCTGAAGGTGCCATCCTGAGAAGCCAAGTGAAATCCCTGTGCAGCCACGGATGAGGAGTTCACTGATCACGCTTGACTAACGTTTCAGCAGAACTGAAAGACTACTGCACATGGCTGGTCTTTAAATCTTATTAGCAGAGAAAGGCCTGGACGAGTGGAATAATTTCCATTTTTTGCTGGATGAAGCAGAAAYGGGAGGAAGGGAACAACATATGTGGATGAGTTCAATTCTTCAGCTGTTATGGAAAATGCAAGACCATTTGTCATGTCTCTCATACATGTCTCTCACTGCTGAGTGCATGAATCGTTTGTGCTGGAAGAGACCCAAAATCCCATCTGGTTCCAGCCCCCCTGCGATGGGTAGGGACACCTTCCACTAGAGCAGGTTGCTCAGAGCCCCATCCAACCTGGCTTTGTGGAGCATCCATAAACTCTGGGCAGCATGTTCCAGTATACCATCACCCTTACAAATGTCTTCCTATCAATTATTCTAAACCTACTCCTTGCAGTTTGA